TTTGTGTTGTATCAAAGAAGAGGTGCCCAGTCACTTGAAGAGTCTATTAAAATATTCCTCTTTTTTGCAACTACATATGGTCCCTGACCTACCACCATTCAACTTAACGATTTTTCAACTTTACAATGGTGGAAAAGCAATACACATTCAGTAGAAACCAACTAGGGTAAGCTATGATGTCTGGTAGTGTAGGTATATTAAATATACTTTCAATTTACAGTATTTTCAACATATCATGGGTTTATCAGGACATAACCCCATTGTTAAGTCAAGAAGCATCTGCACATTATTTGCATGAAACTAGTTTTCTCTAGATCGTTCAACCAAAACAAAACTGCAACAGATTGAATGCAGAAGCAGTATAAGAATCCATATTTCTTCTCTACAACACACATATTTGTCTTGTTGATGACAGTAAGGATATATGTGCTCCGATGTTCACTGCAGCTTTATTTATGGTGTCCAAAACATGGAAACCCAAGTGTTCTTTGATAGATGACTGGATAAAGAAGATGTGGTATATATACACAATGGAATACTATTCTGCCATAAGAAAAGATGAAATAGTGCCATTTGTGAAAACATGGATGGATCTTGAGATTATTATGCTAAGTGAAATTAGAGACAAAAAGTCAAGAACCATATGATTTCACTAACATGTGGGATATAAAACTGAAAGCAACAAAGGAACAAGATAAAGTAACAAAAACTGATAGACACAGACAATATTTAGTGGTTACCAGAGGATAACGGGGGAAGTGGGTGGTAGATGAGGGTTAATGGGATCAAATACATGGTGATGGAAGGAGAACTGACTCTGGGTGGTGAACACACAATGTGATATATACATGATGTATTACAGAATTATACACTTGAAACCTATGTAAATTTACTAACCACTGTCATTCCAATAAACTTTAAAAAAAAAAGAATCCAAATTTCTTTTAGAAAGGCAGATATTAAGAGATTTTATTTAGAGACCCATGATTTTAAAATCATGGGTCTCTAAATAAAAATACATTGTGTTAACATGCAAGGGGTTTATTATTATGTTCAACTGAAATAATAAGCATTTAAAATACTGTTTTAATTTTTAATACAGTCAATATCGATAGACAACTACATAAGCAAAAACTCTTTGGGGCCTGCAATAATTTTTATGAATGTAGAAGAGTCCTGAGACCAAAAATATTGAGAATCATTGTAATTTATCATCACTAAGAAAGCATCATTATTATAAATGCTGCTTAAAATCAGCAAATGCAACCGGAAAAAGAGTAAGTTTTATAATCCTTGGAAGTCTGTCAGAATGCAACAATTTGCTTTTATTTACCAATGCAACAAAGTTTATAGTTTTATATGCAATTCTACCAAGTCATTTAATTTATGCATTAACCTAGAATATTTATCAACATTACTTCTCTGGCAATAAAAATTTAAGAAAGAATTTTAAAAATAAAGTCAAGCCCCTATCTTTCATTCTCAGGGCAGTTTTTACTCCTTCACTGTTTCTAAGATATACTAATTTGCCTTTTCAAATGACATTTTTGAATAATTTATACTAATATACAATTCTCCTGTGTGACATCTCCCATGTAAAAGTAAAGCAATTAGTTGAGACTTTGGAAATTTGTCAATATAAAGTATCCAGAAACTCTTAGAATGTAACTCCATTAGAACAAAGGCTTTAAGCGAGTCAACATCCCTAGATCTAAAATAATGCCTAGATGTATATTTAAACTCTATGCATGTTATTTTATGTCAATTATTCCTTAAAGAATAAATAAATGTTAAATAAATTGTGTGACTTAATATAGCCAGCCATCAGGGTCATCTCTAAGACAAATACGTCTAATTTGGAATATTGTGTTTGTCAATTTCAACCCTACTATGTAAACCTAGTTCTTCTTGAATATGTAAGGAATTTTGAGATTACGGTAAAACAAAATCCTAAGTCTACTAATTTTGCATAATCATCCAAAATTGTATAAAACTAAAAAGTAAAAAAAGTGGCCTATCACACTGGTAGTCTTAAAAATCTAGAATTTGGGTTGATTTTAATAAATAACAAAGTAGTGGAGACAGTCCTATGTTTTTAAAAAATATTTATTTAAAAATAAGATTTCTAAAAATACAGTACAATAATACATTTCAAGAGAAAACTCCACAATTTAAATTAAAAATAATCAGCAAAGGAATATAGAAATATTACATGAATAAAACTAAATCACTAAAATAAATTAAAACAAAACATTTTTCTTAAGGTAGATACATGGTTTGTTTTCCGTTTTGAGAACCAGTGTAGACTCATTTAAATGAGTACATCTCAGATACACGACTTGCGCCTGTGATTTTCCTCACTCTTCTCAACCTAGCCTCTTATCTCTCAACTACTATTTCCTTCTTATCATTAGCACTAGAAATGTTAGTGAAGATTTCCTTTAAATGCTCCTAGGGGAACAGACAAAGTAAAACAAGCAAAGCCGCAAAACAGCACTCAAGATGTAAACATACGCACTGAATGAAAAAATACCTGACCAATTTAAAAACAGGATCGTTATATGGCACTTGGAACATAACATTAAAATAAAAGTCCTTTATTTTAGGGATATAATATTAAACATAATTTGAGGTTGACACAAAATTTTAGGAACCTCAGCATATCACAGATTTTGCCTTTTCATTAAGCTTGCTAGTCAGATTTTTTTTCAAAAGACTAATTCCAGGGACATAAAACTTATACAAGCACGATAATCTGTGCTTAGTCCTCCCAACAGCCTATCGTGCTCCTCCTCAGACTCACAACTCACTTGCCTGAGTGTCTCTGATTGTGGTAGAAATTTTCCTTATCATATCATTTAGTTGCTTTATTCTAACTATGCTAAAGTAGAAATTTGTTTCCAATATTTATCGGAGGACAGCAGATAGTGATGAATTCTCTACTACCCAATAGTTTCAATAAATAACCACATTCAGCCACATTATTTTAAATAATACATAATAAACAAGCTGAATAACTCAGAACTGATACTGTGGCAACAAAATCTGGGAACCACATTGTTGATAATTAGAGAGACACATAATGTTGCTTCTTCCCATTTTGCCTTAACCTCTAATGACATGCATGTTTGTATTTCTACATATCATTCAAATCATCCTAAGTCATGTTTCATATAAGTTTCAGACTTGATTCTTTTTTTCCATTCAGAATCCACTGCAAAACCATATATTGTATCTACATTCAATGAGAGAATTTTTGATTGAAAATAATGCAAAACATTCTCAAATGTGATTGTCTACTTTTCCAATACACACACACTGCTATCTTCTTGCCAGAATTTTTAACCATTTCAGCCAGTTTTAAGGACACTAAATTATTGTTTTGAGTATTTGTGGGAAAACATAGGGAACCAGAATAGTATACATAGCAGTATTATATAATATTTGGACAATTACAAGTACTTCTAAAGGGTGTTTTCTCCCATTTTGTATAAAATGAATCATTAAGCAGAACTAGTTTTTAAAATAACTCTTACTCTAACTTTTTATGTAAAGAGAGTAACAAATACAGACTTTTTTTTTGTCAAGTTCAATTTTCTATCACAGTTTTGTTTAAATCAAGTACATTTGCATTTCCTCTTGGAAAATGTTTATATATATATATATATTTTTTTTTAAAGTGTTCTTTAATATTGTCTTTATTTGCAAAATAGACAAATGCCGATACCATTTTTAATGCCACTAAGGATTACATACACACATATATACACAAATGCAGAATTCTTCATTTGTAATCAGAAAGGGCCCTTACCTTTTCATTTTAGCATTTTGTTTCAGCACTCATTAAAATGGCCCAACACACTATACAGTTCATTTACAGAAACAAAAATAGACTTATTATTTCTCATGTATTTCTGCAGAAATAAAGCAAACCCAAAATATCTTGTGAAAAATGCTTCAATTACCTTTTGTAACTTCAACCTATTAAACTACCTTTTAAAGTAGCCAGTCTACTTTACAAAATGAAAAAAAAAACCATACTAATCTGCCTAACAAAAAAAATTTCAAATGAGAGACATTTAAAAATCAGTTAAATTGAGGCAGCAGTGTGCAAAAACTAAGATCTGTTCACCAAAACTGTTCTTAGTAACACTAAATGCTACTTTATACGCACAAGGATGTGAGAAGAAAACTCTCGGTCAACCAAAAACTCTTTGGTACGGGAAATAAAAATGTCACTCAATGCTAAAGTGACTAGCACCAGGATGTCTTAGTTGTAAAGGTTGTAAAACACTAACTTCAGGCACTAGTAGGTTAACACGTCACCCAACACACACTGGCAAGAACACGGAGCTTGCACTATGCAGACAACCTTTCCCTGTAGTTAACAGCCTCTGCAGTTAAACCCTGTATTCAGTCAAATAGGCAAGCAAAGCCACAAAAAAGAAACACACCTTTGTTGTTGCCTTCTGTTCCCATCATTGTTTATATAAAAAGCTATCAATACCAAAAAGATCAGAGTGTTGAACAACTGTGGCAAGCACTACATTACATGCTCCAGGTATTCACAATACTAACACATATGGAGACCGGCAGGGCATCAAGGACTCCAAAATAGCCCAAATTTTAAAGTGAAAATCACCCTTCATATACAAATGGTTGATTTTTTCGCTGGTGACAAAATGTACCAGAATACTTCGTATCCTTTCTTTGCAATAGGAGACTTATGAAAAAGGTCCCCGTAATTTCAAGCAAACTTTGGGCAATCTACTCATTTCTCCTCAGCATTAAATAGCTGCACCTTTCACATTATTCTTTTCTTTTTTTCTTTTTTCTTTTTTTTAGCTGAGCCATCCTGCCACCTGTTGGCAGCTCAGCAGCAGCTCAGCTCGGGCCGGGCATCAAACCAGTGACCCTGTTGCTCAGAGATGGCACTCTTGAGAGAGCTCTTAACCAACTGAGCCACTCGGCCTGCCCCACATTATTCTTAATGCTTTATGTTAGCTAGCATACACTACAGAATTATAGCATTTCAAATTTAAATCAATTTCTCAAAGGCATCTGACCAAAGAGGCTCAGCAATATAAATTCCTTAGATAAAATAGCTCAAACTAGATGCTTACGTGCATTAACAACTCTTACAGTAAAATGGTATCAACAAGAGATAAGGCTAAAAGGATGTAGCAGGGGATTTTCTGAGGTCACAGACACTGAATCCAGTCCACACTGTTATTGAGATGCTGATTATCCATGCTCAGTCTAGCCTTCATTCCACAGTAAGTTCTTCTATTCCCTTTCTCCAATTTTGGCTACTCGCTACTCATTTGTACTCTGTGCCTTCTATGGTGGACCAGGGGAAAAGAATGTATAGTGAAAAAATATGTAATGATAGTGGAAAATACTGGCAATACCAACGACTTAAGATTTTGAAATACCATTGTTTCTGTTTCAAATTAGCACTAGCAGGCAGTATTACAACATCTGAAAAACTGACAAAAATATGGTCAATTTTGTTGTTAAAAACTGCACAATGATAATGAATGGAGACATCTGAGGAAACACTTTCCTGAAGTGAAACCATCATCATCCCATAGGCAGCAGAAATGCTAAATATTAATACATAGAATACCAACATTGGTTCAAAATACTTTAAGCAAGCTGGTTCTATTACTTTCTTACATTCTACTGTAGAATATTTTAGAATTCAATTGAGGCTGGCTAAACTCAGAGCATAATGAAATTTGTGATTTATAGATAAATTCAGAGGATGATTTGTAGAATAGAAGGTAACAAATGTGGACATTAAATAATACACTCATTCATTTGTTAATTATATGGTTAATAATACTAGCAAGTAGAACATACTAAATGTACATGGCTTACTAACTACATTTGCCAATACTTACATTTTTTAAAGCAATAGTAGCAGAATTGGGTAAAAAAAATCTAATACTTGTATCTATTCATAAATTACTTAACATTTGTAAGTATAAACTTTACCAAATAACTTCTAGCTATATCTACATATATTAGAGATCATGTCAAAAGCTTATTTAATGAAGCAGCAATAGTTTAGTAAATCTGAGCTAGGTGATGTATTCCTCCATGAAGCATAAGGGAAGTAGTTAGAGCCTAGAGACAAATCCAGGGTGAGACGAGCAGCTTTGTTCGTATTAATGCCATTGTAAACCAGGGCTGGACACATTGTGATTGTATAGCAATACATGTGAGAACACTCAAACTGCCCCATGATCTATCATACAGAGAAATTTGTGGCCATAATCTAAATTAATTCCCATTTCTGGTTGGGAGTAATGTCCTAGCTTAAGTCTTCATGCTTAGCATTCAGGATTGATATACCTTTTTGGGTGGAACATATATTCAACTAATTACTTGTATGGAAGTGACTTGTAAAAGTCTGATGAAGAATAGTCATAATTAGCAACCATCCTTAGAGAAAAATACCTCTAGACATTAGCAAAAATTCACTGATGTTCATTCTGACGGAAGTTTTAACTTCGTCATTAATACTGAACTTGATGTACTCGTATGCTTATGCTCTCTACTTCTATTACTTTAAAAGTAAACTATGCTTTTTTCTGTGAAAAGAGATTAATGTATTAACTAAAAACTTAAATATAGCTATCTCTTATGTTAACCACAAATATTTTCAATACCACTCGTAAGCAAAATAGTATTTTTCTTATAATAGGACATCAGGTAACTTAGTATTTTTAAAATGTAAGTCTTGGTTACAAAGCACCAAAAGCTCCTTAGCTGAACGCCTACTGTTTAGGAATTGTGGACTCACTCAGTACTTGCTGCCAGTTTTGAGCCCATAAAGATTTTTTTAAGAAAAAGAACAACAACAAATACAACTGTTCAAGAAGCGTAACTTATCATATCTAGGTAAAATGCTTTCATTTCCAGAAGCCCAATTAATGACTTTGCTGATGTAAAACATCCTTTAAAATACATTTTGCTTAAAACGAAATGGAATGTTTAGAAGGAACTACTTCATCCAACATATAGATTACATCAGTTACCTCATGGTTCATAATCATTTTCTAATGATCAACATCATTAGTTATTTTCATAATATCCAGAATACATAATAAATTGGCTACTAAAGAAAGCTACAGCTATCTAACTCTGAGTAGGAAAGTTAAAAAAAGAATGAAAAGTATAAAAAGAATTATTAATCTCTTATTATTTTAATGCAATAGAATCAGTAAAAAAGAAATAATTCCAAAAACAGGTTTAAAAAATCTAAATGTATTTTTTTAGATATTCAGTAAAACACATTAGATGCTTGCCATTATAACTACAATAGATTTCTGTGTTTTGTAATAAACTGGTAATTTTAAAGTAACGGCTTTTCTAATTCTTAATTTACCCAAATAAGGTTTAAAATAAAATACATGAAATGGTTTACATTTGTTTATCCTGATCTGATGTAAACTTGTAGTTGATAGTAAAAAAACCCAAAAAAACAACTGATAAGAATATATGTACACAATTGAAGCAAACTAGTCATCATTTTGTATGAACTAGATGTGACATAAACAGGAACACATTCATTTTCATAAAATACTACATTTTTGTACATATACTCCCCCTAAGTTTGTACCTCTGACATGTTCAGAATTCGGTTATACAATTTTCTCATGGGGCAGTAAATCTCTAGAGCCAGTATAATTACATCAATTAGCCAAAAGAGGGCGCAGAGAGAACACTAGAGCTTATGCACTCCCTAGGAAACTGCCAGTTGGTTTTTCTTAAGTTTTCTTAAAAATTAACAAACCCACAGTTAGGCGTGCTATTTGGGAATACTGAAAGCTACACCTTAAGTATATATAGATATACTTTAATATAGATTCTTATATAAATATATTGATTTGTTTCATTTCTACCATTCAAACAAAATAAATATATGCTTTGCCTAGTGTATTAGTTTGTATTCCAGTACCAAAGAGATCAGGTACAGAGGGATCAGGACCAGGGAGGGTGTACAGAAACAAGGGAAGAGAACGTGCCATAGAAGTAATAAATCTAAGAACAAAGACCCTTAAGACTAGGAAAGGGACCACTTCTGGTTCTCATTACTGAGGCAGAAGTTGGCACTGAGTACCTCCCAAGTACCTTTCAAGGTAGCTGCTGCTATGACATGAAGCAAAACTATGTCCATAAAGCTCATTAGTGGATCCTCACTTCACTTTGTTGTTTTCAAGGTCCTCATTTGAAAGGAATGTATACAGCTGGGCATTGGTCTGATATCCATTTGCATTATCGATATATTACTTCCTTCTAACAGTTCTGTCACCAGGCCGAATTTGCTCAGAATGTTAGCTTGCACAAAACCCAACCCACTTGCCTGACATGAACATATTAATTTTGGGGTTCATTAAGCTCCACGGGTATGCTTCTCATATTAAACTTACGATGCATCTTATCAGCACCAATACTTCGTTTCATTTGCCACTTCTAAGTTTTTAAATAATACAGCACTGTAATCAAAACATGAAAGACATGGTATTTATATCTTTGAGAACAGCTTCTTCATTATTTTAGAAGATATTCACAATTTCTGAAAGAACTGACTACAGCTGGCTGACAATCGTCACCGTCTGCTTCATTTCTCAGGTATGATTCCCTACCGTCAAAACTAACGAAAAGGTAACTACTGATATGCTCCAAGAACGAGGCCCCTTCAATCTTCTCTTCAAGGAAAAGACTTTGAGTACCTAAAAATTTTTAAAAGATATATGGATTTTACAGTCTTCTAATGGAAAAAAATTTTAAAGCTGAACTTTTTTCAAAGCATGCTAAATGTCTTTTCACCCAAATGTTTTATGCTTTCCAAGAGCCCATCACTGTTAGCAATTTAAATTTGTAGAAGGCTAATGATATAGATCATTATATTTTCTTATTTTAAGATCACTTCCTTAAATTAGCTACTAAAAAAGGTCTCTCAATCCAAAGTATAGTTGACCAATTAAAATTTAATTTCAATTTGGGTGATTATAGGTACACAAAAGTTATTTACTTGTTTTTACTGGTAATTTCCTATAGGTAAAATTTCAGTATTAGTTGGCCAATATTTATTATATATAAACCTTCAGTGTGTAATTTTAGATCTACTGACAGGTTAATAAAAGTTAAAAGTATATATTTTTTTTCAAAAGCACAATATTCCTCTTTATACTGTATATTATATATTATCTAGTCATACTAGCATTTTGAAAACATACTCATTTTTGTATAACTGCACTAGAAAAGGTATTTGTGGGGTTACTGCAAATTCTCTATCTTTTTGCTCATCAAAACCTTAGGGTAAAACAGAAATACATGCCCACTTAGTCTAAACTTGCTCCTTGGAGCAAATATGTTAACAACCAATAATTACAACAATACAGGGAAAAAAATGGGAAAATTAACATGGAAAATAATGTATTTTTCCTTTAAAATAAGGTAGGTAGTTGGTGTTTTATTTTAGTGGTGTTTTACTTTTGTTTTTGGTGAAGAGAAAACAAGAAAACATTAGAAAGCTACTTCTAAGAAAACACTGCCCTTTTTTTGTTTTTTTTGTTGTTGTTCAATCCTATGCTGCATTTAATAAAAATCCTGCAGCACATACAAAAGGAAATATTAGTGTATTTTAAATTGTATTTGAAAAAGAAAATTTGCATATAAGCTGTAAAATGTTTTGTAAAACCTGAAGAATTAAGATTTGGCTAGTACTGCTTAAGAGTGAAAATTTAAATAAACATCTGAAATTTCCCACAAATTAAAATCTGTACCATTGTCAGTACTAAAAGAAATTATGTACAATTATTTCATCCCAATCACTGCCTTTTGAGTTTAGTAACAAAAGCATTTACAGAAATCCCTGTGGAAAGCTAATTTGAAAGTAAACATGCTTTAAAACTTAAATATAGATCTTGTATTAGTCCCACAACAGGATCAAGATCACTATTAAAATGAAGCCTGGGGCACATTATGATGCCTAAGATTGGTGGGTGGATTTTAATTGACTTGAAGACTGTCATCGTTCTATTATCAGAAAACCTGTAACGCACTTCCAGCATGGAGGACCCATCTGTGCCCACCATCCATCTGTTTAGACGTGATTGGCAAAGTGGTAGGGAACTCGCAGTGGTTGCCTCTGCCTGAAAGGAATAAACCACAGGATCTTCCAACGAGTGCCAAAAACTTCTGAGAAGGTCTGCTGCCATGGCTTTCGGGGCCTCGATCTACAGAAGACAGCATTATTAGTGAAAGACAGCACTCCCATGGTGCACTTCAGTCAGCTAAAACAATGCAGGTTGGCTGGGGATCCATTACTGGACTCTGATGAATTGTGTCCCAGCATCACAAATACAGCTTTTCTTTCATTATGGCATGCAGCTGAGTTTTAACTCTGGATAGCAGATATTGTATCTGTGTCGTCAATCAACCGAGGGCAACTTTTGAAGCAGAGGAGAATCTCAGGATTAACAGAATGTGTGTCAACAACACAGTAGCAAATCTCTTTTGATGTACTTTCAGGACAAATAATTTAACTTACTTTAGTAAGACAAGGAACAAGAATGATTGCTACTTATTTTGTTTGAAAACTATCATGGCTAGAAGACCCCTACTGTAAGACTGGGTTCTGCCTATCTAGCTCAGGCCTTAGACAAGGCACCAGGAAAAAGCCATCACTATATTATTATCTTTCCACTGCATGCACACGTTTTTTCAAACATGGTTGGTTGTTTCCATTTTTAATAAGAACTCTACAAACTTCACTTTTATACTTACATTTCTTCACAACAGTTTGACATCTTTTCAATAGATGTTGTATCCTGTTAAAAATTTAAAAAGTTATACTCAGATGTAACAAAGTTATAAAGGCTCTACTCTGTATTAATTTTATAATGCTTTTAATCATATTCAGAGAATATTCTGAAAATTGAAATAGTATATATATATATATACACACACACACACACACACACACACACACTAAGAATTCTAAATTATCTATAAATTATCTATATACACTGCTGAAGTTCCCGTGAAAATAACAGAATCAACATTACATTGTGCCAAAAAAATTATTCAATTGCAAAACCTCACAAAAACTGTAGGAGTTTCACTTCATTAAAATATAACCTTTTATTATACTTTTTTCCTTGATAATTCTTTTAAAAGTCTAGTGTCTATTTTTAAGTCAACTGTGAGTGAACATGCATTAAAAAACAAATACCAAAATGACAAATGAAAGATAACTAATGAACACATAACTGCCAAGAGCCAAAGAGTACTAACTGGTTCTGGATTTCTGTAAAGACACAAATTCAACAAAGCAATCTATGCATTTGCCATATGACAACATCTAGTACTGTGAAAAGTAAAGTGAACCGATTAGTGTTCTTCGGTTAAAAACTATTTCCTTTTTTCAATAGAAAAAATCAGTCTCTTGATAATAATACAATTTCTTATGTATTTTTTATAAGGTTCTAATAAATATATAAGAAAAACAATTCAACAAACAAAAGATAGTTTCTAGACATTCTAGTTTAATTCATGTTAACAGAAGATCTACCATTAGATTGAGAAATTGATAATATCTAAATAATCAAAACAAATTACATAATCTTATTTTAGATATATATTTAAATTTTAAATACACTTTAAAGCAGTACAAAAGAAAAGCTATTCTTTTAAATATACTAAAATATACTAAAAAGTTAGAGTTTTTCTTCTCTTATCCTTTCCTAACTTGCTCATATCTGGCAGGTGGGCTGTATTGTTATTAAGCAGTAATATTTATGGAAATATTTGTGGCTTCAACTCCAATCCCAAGAACTTCTTTGGCTGTAGAATTTTCCTCCAATGATACTAATAAGAAGCACCTTTACTTTAAAAGCCTTTTGATAGACGTTACATGAAGAGCTATAATATTAAATTCTTATGTATGAACAGTTGAGCAACTACAGTTAGCCCACATATGGGAAAATGAATCTTTTTTTTTTTTTTAGATGACTAGTCAACAATAACAGAGTTTCATTTCCAGATTACCCAGGAATTTGGAACAAGTTTGTAGATTAACTACATATTCTATATAAATTAGTTTTGCTATCATGCTTCGAAATTCATGGTATCCAATGACAATTCCATTTATAATTAACCTTTCTTGGTTCTGCTGCTTAATTTCTTCAAAATAATGTTTCACTCTGTGAAAACACAATCTGCAAATACATGACGACATTGATGAGGGACTTAGAGGAAAGCTGGGCCACTGGTTTCACATCTGTACAGAAAGTGAATGAAGTCATTTTAGTGATGCCTTAGAACTGATGGGCAGCAGGTTGTTCCAAAACAATTAAGACAGATTGTGCAAAGATACAAAGGAAAAGACAGGACAGAAGTCAAGAAGTGCTATTAGCAAAGCCATATAAAAATGGCCTAAAATTGCAGTTATGGATAATACTTAGAAACTGGAAACTATTATAGGATAAAGAAGCAATTACAAGGTCAGCCTACTTTAGCTAATATTACAGGACATTTTTACTATGCAGAAATCTACAACTTGATTATAACTTTGAGGAACATATTTGTGGCAATAAGAAAATGAATTCTGAAGACTTAGGATTTAAACTTCTTAAGGGAAAAGTTTTCATTTTCAAGTGCTTTTGACATCTTTCTAGAATCTGGTTTAAAAAAAAGTAGACTACTACCTATTGAGTAATCATAAACAGATGGTTATTCTATCAGAGGATGGGATGTTTACCATGACTTTATGAACACGATTTGTGACGGTAGCCAAAAGTAGCTATTTTTTTCTCTAGAAATGGTAAATGCTTATCTCTCTGAAACTCTGCTACCCAAATACTGTTATGATGCAAGAAAAAAACAATTTGTATTGTGACTCAAACAGGTCACAAAGTTTATGCACTGGCATTTATATTCATACTCAGAGCAACACAAGTTATCATGCTGTTATATTCGTAAGGACAATGGAAACAGCAAACTAGAAGAAGAAACAGGTTATCACTGGCTGGAACACTGGAACTATTAAGTTATTTCCAAGTGCCTAGTTAGGTTTAATATTCTTTTTGTTTTGTTTTATAAAGCATGGGAATGTGGGATATTTTAGAAAAAAAAATAATTAAAATAGATTTGGGGCAGATAATTTCATTCAATATAAAAGATTCAATACCGTCATTGGAAAATGATCGATAAGACAGCTGTTATCTTTAAGGAATATAAATATAATTTATAAATTCTTTGTTATGTACAAAATTCAGCTATTCAGAAAAAATCATTATTCAAGGAATGATAAGAAAAAAGTTTTCATTTTATGTTGTCTATAATCAGGGTATCTTACCTCCAGAGAAATAGTTATGTCTTGATTGTGGTCTAACGATCAAAATATCTAAGATGTTCTTCAGTTTGCATAACTAAGAGACATTCAAAAACGCTGTCCTATTTTAAAAACTGAAAGTTTATTTTCTAAAAAAAGAATAAACTAGAAAAAGCACTTACAGAAATATAGGCCTTACTTATTTTATCAACCAATACTTTACAGTTCTGATGGCTAATTTTACCCTTAGAAATGATCTCTGAAATTCAGTCTAAAATATGTTTGATTATAAAATAAAGCTGTATCCTAACTTATAAGATTATATATAAATTGGAAAAAAGAAGTTCCTAGAAGAAAAAGAGCGAGAGTGTTTATTGCCTACTATAAAAATTGGGGCGGGGGGGGGGGGTGGCGCACAGAGCAAGAATTATCACCAGACGTTTCCTGGTTAACGCCTGAGAATCTAGGCCTCTTGGAATCTGCAGCTCGATGNATCACCAGACGTTTCCTGGTTAACGCCTGAGAATCTAGGCCTCTTGGAATCTGCAGCTCGATGATGCAATCTATCCAATAACTCATCCTGCTTTGAGTTCATTCTCATCAACCAACGCTTTGTCATAAATGTTGTGATGGGGAGAAAGTGTGAAGAGTCCTTTGGCACAACTGACAATCACACATAAGGGGATAAACAGTCAGTCTGGTTTATATGACCTCCATGGCTATCACTTTTAAGTCTGGAAGGAAGAGCCATTGCCTTTGGGCCTGATTAACTCCGGAAAGATTTTCAAAATGGAGTTTTTAATCTGCCGGACTGAATACCCAAGTAAGAATATTCTATCAGAAAGACATCTTGAAGACATTCAATCTAACCTCAATGATCACCTGCACTCTATTCTTCCTATAGGTGTTGTCAATACTAATTTAGTGACTCTGTTGAATAATTTGGAGTTTAAAAAAAAAAACTATTCAGGAAAGTTTTTCACAACTAGAAATTATATACCTGTTTATTTATTACTATTTTCTACTAACTCTAAGATAGACTTTTGCTTGACTTCCTAGCACCTCTGATCAACATATGGACAACAGCTCACTTAAAACTTTGTACCTTCCATAGCACCTAGCAGCATATCTTGTTCAAAGTGGATACTATGTATGCAGCACTAAACCAACTGAACATCAACACAAACAGCATTATCACTTAATTTTAATTTTTTTTCTTCAGTCCAAAAAGAAAAAAGTTCCTATTAACATTGGCTCTTTCTCCTCCTTTGAAACTAGAACTCACTTAATCCCCATTTGAAATAAATGGTTCTTTAAGCATCCATCTTGAACATAGGACCAGCTATATTATCTTTTATTAGAGATCTGACATTCACATAAAATTTAATCAATCATGGAACCAAAGTGAGAGGGAAGGAGATCTTATATTTAAATAGTCACTGAAAAATGTCTTTCGAAAATAATGCCCATAATTCTCTTCATCAAGCCACTTTCTGGCCATATAAAACCTTAAGAAAGTTACTAAAACTCTGGATCTCAATTTTGAAATAATAATAATACTAGCTCATAGGTTTTTGCAGGAATGAAGTGAACTAATATATATCAGAGTCCTTAATAACTCCTCAATAAATGGCAGTCCTCGTTTTTTATTGATATTGTCTACTAACCACTTTCTGAGAGGGCTTAGAGATACAATATCTTAATTACACCAGAATTGAACCAGAGAAAAAAAATATGTTTAAACAAAAAAGTGGTTTTCATAATAAAAGATAAAATGACCGGGACTCTGGGAAACTACACAAATAAAATCCAATGTCCACAAGGGGCTGAAAAACCAAGTACTAAGTACATAAACCATGATTCATTTACTCCTTTATTCATTTCTCAAAAATTTCCTAAGTACCTATTATGACACAGTCCTTAGCATTGGGGAACTTACAGTTTAGTGAAAGCAGTCAAGAAATAACTATACAGGAATATACAGGGGATGATTATCCACAGTGACATATTCTATAAATAAGCCTTACACAAAATATTTGAAACAGCTAAAAAATTATGTTTACAATCAACAGTCAAGGTCAACTACTCTTACCTTTTTAAAACAAAATTCTATTTTCAGTAAGAGTTTTGGTTATCAGTAGAAGTAAGATGAGCTAATGTACCCCTTTGGCTGGGGTATCGGGAGTAACCAATATATGGATAGAATGTGACAGAAAGAAGCTATGAATCATTGTGAAAAAAGATCTGCAAGTTAACTATAAATATAAGGTTCACTGTTTTCTCCAATTCTATAATGTTTTAAAGTCAGATTAAAAATTGATGTGGATTCAGAATATGAAATAATGAAATGAATGTCTAGGAAAAATTACAAGTAAAAGGTAAACTCATAAATGCTTAGCATCCTTACCAAAAATAAATAAATAAATAAATAAATAAAAAGCATTTACAATATTTAATCAAACAATTAGTAATGCTTTAAAAAATTAAAATGCACTG